ACCTGCTGAGCTGGGGCATCGTCTCTCTGCCTCTGAGCCTCAGTTTGATCACTGGAAATAGGGATCAGAGTCCTGTCTGCCTGGCAGGGAAGCCAAGTGGTCAGCACGGAGACAGAGGTCTCAGCTGTGCTCCCCTGGGGCCAGGTCCCGTGAGTGAGGGCTCACAGGTTCCCGCCCACCCTCTCTGCCCACTACGGAGAGGTTGCTGCTGAAGGCGGCTGTGGAGGCCCGGCAGGCAAGCCTCAGCAAACACATTTAAATCTGAAGTGACAGATAAAGCGATTTATGGCGACAGTTTAGCGTTAGATCACTTCCCACAAGGCAGTCGGCATCCCTCGGCCCCCCTGCCTGCTAGTCCATCAAGGCGGTCTCTAAATCACTGACTCCGAGCAGTGGCCCAGGGACAGTGAGGGGGCCAGGCTCTTCGGGCCCTCCGGGCAGCAGAAGGGGTGAAGCAAGGCTTGGGGAGAGGAGGGTGATCTAAGCAGCTGGCAGATTTTTACAAATCAAAGGCCCAAGACTTAAGGAAACAGGGCGCCACTTCATGCCTTATTTTAAATAAATAAGCAGCTTAAAAATCTCCCTGTGAGGCCAGCTTGTCGCCGTGAAACACGACACCCGTTCTGCATGGTCCAGCCTGCATGCCTGGGCCCCTCAAAGGCTCCCCTGACCCTCCTTGCCTCCCGCCACCTCCTCGCAGAATTAATTGGTCCCTGAGGCGTCGCGTGGCACTTTGTTCAGACCTTGCTTCCAGTGCTGTGTCACATTATATCCTACTTAGTTGCTCTCATGCTGACTTCCTGATAGTAATTTACCGGGGGCTTGCTACGCGCCAGGCCTGGGCCCTGCACCGGACGGGCCTGAACTCGCGCTATCCTCACACTCACCCTGGGGAGGAGCCAACGATGCTCCATTTTTCAGATGGGGAAGTAGAGGCTTGGAGTGCTGGGATTTCGACCTGCCCTTGGCCTCTGTGCCCACGGCCCCAAATTGCTGGCCTAGGGCAGTTTTATGGTGAAAGATTCTGTCTGTATTTGCACAAAGCATCACATTCACCCCTGCTCTGTCCCGTTATGCCCTGAAGGCCAAAGCCGGCAGCGGGACCCTGGACTGGCCAAGAATGAGGGTCTTTCTTTGTACTGGGACATTTCCTGCCTGGGACTCAGCTGTCTGCTGTGAAGTAGGGGCCCACAGGCACAGGCCTAGTAAGCTGGGAACCTCAGGGGCACAGAAGTGACCCAGTCAAGGTCATGCTGCCTCCCTCCGCTGACCCTCCACCCTGTGGCAGAGAAGACATTAACACTCCAGGAGACCTCCTAGACCAGAGCTTTCTCTGGCAGAGATGCCAGGCATGGCTATCCCCAGACACAGCCAGGGGGACATGGGGCCAATCTGGAGAGGCAGGCACAGCCCCCTAGAATCTCCTGCTCCAGAATGGGGGCCTGCAGGGGCTCCCTGGCTGATCTCGCCAGCGTGGCAGCCCAATTTAATTAAGATGGATGCAGTGTGCCCCCATGGGCAGGAGCCGTGGCCGGCACAGATGGTGGGAGCCTGAAACTCTCCAGGCTCTGCCCGAGCAAGTGGCCTCGGCCAGCAGCCACTAGGGCAGGACCAAGGATGGCCCTGGGAGGCCTGCCCTTACCAAGGGTGGGAGGGGGTTTGGTCCTGTCCCCTGTGACCTCAAGCCCTGCGACCAGCCAGGCAAACACTCTTCTACTCTCTGCTCTAGCCTCACCTCCACATACCATATGACATACATCACACCACACACACATCACAGCCACACACACACCACATACACCCCCAATCACCTCAATTACCAACAGAGTAGGGTAAAAATCCAGTCCTGGACTTCAAATGCTAGGGGGACAGTTGGGAAACTCTGCTTTTCCAAAGTTGGGAGTGAGGCCATGGGTGGAGCCAATCTTTGGGGAGGGGAGGAGTGAGGGGGCAGGCAGGGAGGGCATCTGGCCCCTGCCTCCTACAAGGACCCCTAGGTCCTCCCCAGGGAGGGGAGAGCACCCACAGGGCAGGAAAACCCCAAGCCACGGCTCTTCAGGATGGAGAGGGTCCTGAGGGTATCGACCCCTTCTCTCACCAGCCCTTCCCAGCCCCTCAGACTCCCCCTCCATGATCCCTGCAGCTGGAGCAAGGCCCAGGCAGGATGGCACCTTCCCTACTCCTCCCCATCTGGCCTCAGGCACAAAAAGAGACCCTCCCACCCCCAGAAAATCCAGATGCTCCACAGGGGACCTCAAGCCCCCAGCCCAGTCTGACCCCCACTACTCTCCATGGGCCACCAATCCCACGCAGCCAACACTGCCCTTGGTTTCAAATATAAAATTAAAAAAATTCCCACCCCGAGATAATTGCTCGCTCCTTTTCCCCATTGTGGTGGCTCCGAGGAAGGCGCTGGGAAGCAATTATTCACGGCTAATGATTATAATCAAGTCAAATAGAATTTAATAGACACGTATTCTCTTCCTGCTTGAAACTTTACATATGAATTAAGCACATATGGGTTTCACGAGGAACAGACCAGATTTATGCAGCCCCGAAAAGCCTCGCGTTACCGCGACTTTTATTCCGCTAATAAACAGGCTGATTTACAGGCGCTGCTGGGCGCGGGAACCGCGATCTCCGCTGCCCCCTGGTGGGCGGCGGCCCCCGCTGCGCCAAGGCCATGGGGACCCGGCGCGGAGGAGGTTGGAGGGTACCAAGCCCACCAAGGACCCGCGAGATCTGATCGGTGCTAAGGCCACCCAAACACCGGGGCTGGGCAAACCTGGAAGGAGGGTCTGCAGGGGATGCAGACTATATGGAAGCCCCACATCCAGGACCCGCCGCGGCCGTTTTCTGGGGTTCCAGGCCGGTTATGGGTTCTCCCTACTATGAGACTCTTTCTCATACACCAAGAGGTATTGAGTAAACTGAGGCAGGCAGGGGGAGGGTTACACTGCTCATCTGTGGGAGAAGCCCAGCATCCCTTGGCATCCTTAGGACAGGGCTGATATCCAGAGTGACAACGGTGGCATCAGTTCCAGCACCAACAACAGCAGCAGGTGCTGAGGGCTCAGTTCGTGCCAGGCACTGCATGAGCATCACAGTTTATGAGCATCAGCTTCTAATGCCCCCAACAAACCAGTAGGTGGGTTTTCCACCATCCCCATCACATAAGGAGGAAGCAGAGGCCCTAGGAGGTACATGGAGAAAGGGAGACCCCAGAGAGATGCAGCAAACACTGCCATTCCCAGTCCCGGCAAATCAAAAGGAGCCAGACCGAAGTCCTCTCCAGAGAGCACAGGAGGCTGACAGAGCCGCTACACTCTCAGGAAGAGCCATTAATCATGCCTGCAGCGCACGTATGACCTCCAGAGCCCCCACCCAACTCCATCTGCATCCCAGCTGACACCCTGCCTTGGTCCCCACACCTTGGCCACCAACCACCAAACTGGCTAGGAAGGAACTGATAAGATGCCCCGTTTTTCCCTCTGACCACTTTGCAGCTCAACAAAAGGACAAGCAGGGTGCCTCCCACACCCTTGCCAGTGACTGACAGGGCTGGGACACCAGGCAGGGCAGCCTCATAGGTCTGCGGCACTGTCCCCTCAGCTGGGACCCCAAGGCTTGGTCCTTGCACCTAAGGCCAGTCCCTCCAGGGCCCAGGCGTCAAGAAGACCCTTATCCCCGGGCCACTATGACATCTGCCAGCCTAGCTTGACCTGTCTTAGCCCCATGTCTCCGCAAATGGAGACCTCACTGCCACCCACTGTCCTAGTGGCCCAAGAGAAACACAGCAGAAGACGCGCCAGCAGAAACTCAAAGGTGACCTCACCTCCCCCCACTGCTCAGAGTCAGAACTCCTACAATCTTGTGCCTGGTCACCTGTGTACCGAGACAGGCAATGTCGGGGAAGGGAACACTCGTGTGACCACACAGTTCTGCGAACACCACTGGGGAGATATACAGCAATGCCACTGTTGGAAATGCAACCGAGACCACAGACCCAGAGAAGCCACCTCTCCCCAGGTCTCCTGAGCCCAGTCACTGAGCGAGAACAGCATGGGCACCACCAAGACCCAGAGTCCCTTGGCCGCTCCACGCCCTGGCCAGCGCCAGGGTCAGACAACAGCTGCAAGCCCAAGGGTGAGACGAAGGAGATCTGAGATGCTTCTGGGGGTGCCTGAGACTGTGCAGGTGGGGAGCGGGCTTGCACAGTGGGGCTTCCCTATGAGTCAAAGCCCAAGATGAGAGGGTCTGCCCAGGTCTGCAAACCCTTCTCTAAGGAGGAGGCTCCTTCTTGCAATGCTTGGCAACCACTCACCCTTGATTCAGCCCCTACTCGCCCTTGTCTCATGAACCACCTGCGCACCTGCTAGACTTGACCCCCACCTTGACGCCCCACTCCTAATCTCCAGCAGACAACTGCCTGGGAGGAGAGCAGCCAACTTCCTCCCTCTCCCAAGAGGGAAGAGAAGTAGCCGGTTCCTCGACACATCACAATAAACTGCCAAGCCAGCAAGAGCAGCAGCAGGAAGCTGAGCATGGGTGCAGGGGCCTCTGCCCCCACCCCTCCTCTGACATGCTCCCCCGACATCCTCGCCTGCCCCAGTACGAAGTGGGCAGGGCTGGCAGAAGGCGGAGGAAGGAAAGCAGTGGTCAGGGGCATCTGCAGCCCCCAAGGGCGGACCACCCAGATCTGGCCTCCGCCTTCTTGGCAGGGCAGCCGGCACAATTCCAAACGCAATTCCTTCCCAGCCGCTAATGGGTCTCAGAGCTTCGAGGCAGCTCGGCCAAGGCGCCCCCAACACGGTGGGTCAGGGTTTCAAGGAGAGAGGAGTCCGCGCTGTTGACGTGCTGGGCTCCCACGGCGCCAGCAGGCCATCCCCATTCAGCCACCCGAGCCTCACTGGAGCCAGGTGGCGTCCACTCATGCCTGGCATAGTGATGAGGCGGCCACCCTGGTCTCTGGCTCAGGCCAGCCAGAAGCCCCCACTTACCCGCGTTGACGATGGCGTCCACCTCCAGCTTGGTGATATCACCTCGGAACAGGGAGATTTTCTCATTGAGTTGCTTGTCTTTCTTGTACTTGGGCTCCTCCACCTTCACGGTCACTCCTGGAACAAGCAGAGGCTGGGGGTGGAATCACAGGCCAGGCAAGCCCCCATCAACCGCCCTCTACCTCTGGAGGCAGCCTGCCACGTGGAGACCAACGAACCCGGAATGACAGCCCACTCTGATTAAGCACCTACTATGTGCAGCAGCACACCCTCATCTCCCTAAATCTTCACGACAATGTTACACTTGGGTATAGTATTAATGCCATCCACCCCCATTTTACAGAAGATGTAACGAGGCCCAGGGAGGTTAAGTGACTTGACTCGGGCTCCCCGTTACCAGGCATGCAATTTGCGGGGCCGAGATGCTCACCAGCACGCATGCTGCCGGCAGCTACACCACAGCGGCAAAACCAGCTCCAGCAGCCACCGGGTGGTGGATCTAGGGCTCGGTTTCCCAACAATACAATGGGGATAAAAAGCGAATCTACCTCAGGCTGTGTTAATAATTAAATGAGGTGATGCTGCAAAGTGCCCCGCACCTAGCAAAAACCCAGTAAACGATGCTGCCACGTCTTGGCCTTGTCTGTACGATTCTCCCAAGACATGGATCTGAAGGGGCCGCCCAGCAACTGGCCGGCTGGGCCTCCCCAGCCCAGGGCCTACCTTTTGCTGTCTCCTTCCACGTTGGGATCTTCTTCAGCCTGACAAAGTCCCGGCAGAAGTAATGTTCCTCCCGCTGCTTGTCACTCAGGCCTTTCAGAAAGGCTGCAGGGACAGGGTGGGGCGGGCAGGAAGGAGAGTCAGGTGGGCCCCACCGCCCACAGGACATTTGCCTCCTCCAAGGATGCAAACCTCCTTCCCACAGGCACATGGGGAGGGGGCCCAGAGGGAGGGCCCCTAGAACATCTTGCCCCGCCCTCTTTGTTAGAAGGGGAAACGGAGGCCCGCAGAGGTGGAGGGCGTCTGTCAGGCATCAGACCTGAGTTCAGAATTCAACTCTGCTACTTTCCAGTCGTGTCCACACCTCTGGGTCCCTAATGCTTCATTTACAGAATGGGGATGAAGACAGCCCTTGCAGAATAATGTCAAGCTTATTCATACATGCTAAAGCCAGGCAGGCTGGTGGCACTGAATCAGTTATATCAATCAGTTACATCCTCATCATCATTTTCAGAGGCTGCAGGACACAGGGAGCCAGGACAACGTCCTCCTCAACGAGCCACAGGGCCAGGCAGATCTGGTGCCTGTTTGTGATGTTGCCCCAGCTCTAGCAAAGGGTCCCCCACAGA